TCGTTAAAATAAATAGTTAAAGAAAACACTCATACATCAACACACCACACAATAACGAAATCACCTAGAAGATAGAGATGTGACCCATGAGCAGTTCCTCATAACTTAAAATAATGTAGCACAGTGAGGATCCAGGACATTTCATGGAGGAGACCTGCCTCTGTCTGTCACCAGTAACAGTACTGTAGTTCATACACTTCACTGATAAAACCCAGAACTGTAGAGTAACATTAGGCTTCATGATCAAAGAACATTTATATATGACTTCAACACCTCTTTCCATACTCACATGCTCCCTCTCCCTTGCTTGTCTACATGAGCTCTCTGCTGCGATAATGGTTTCATAATGTGCCATTTGTCTGTTAAATAGCAGGGCTTTTAAAGGGAATGGGCAATGACACTGATTGGTTTAATTCATGTTATGCCCAAAACACACCTATGATAATATGCACTCAGATTACGTGCCGTTTAACTAGCAGAACTGGAGCTGGACACGTCCTAAATGCACTTGCAGCCATGCACTTTAGACACAACCCTATAGGTCATTTAAATACAACACCAACACTTCCATGGGCGCATCAGATGGAAACAATGCATTTGCTACTTACAAAAAGTAAGTAAGTACTTGGCGTGAAACTGCATCAGCCAGAAACTACTAAAGACACTTGCGTTGTGTTGTGTGCTGCTTTGTGCCAGGTGTTTTTTTTTTATTCGAATCTTTTCTAATGCAGCATTGTAGCCACATGTTGGATTAAGTGACAGAGTGAGAATATAATAGAGGAGACTGCCACTGTTTTGCGACTAGGTCTGGGTCAAATGAAAAATATGACCACCTGTGTGTCGACTTAAAGTGTCAAGTGTATTTTTACTTCTGCCTTGAGATTAGCTGATATACCGTTTTTCACAGCAGACATTTTGACTCCTCATAACAGGAAAAGTACAGGTGTAATTACACTAACAATGGCAAAGTCCCATCAAGTGTCTCAGTACGTCACTGATAATATCAATGAGAGCTTTTGAACAATAGCTTCTCAACAGGGCAAAATCAAATGTATTATTTTTTCTGCTCTCAACAACTCCATTATTATGGGTTTTTTCAGCAGAGCTCTGATGAAACCACTATGCACTACCAGCCCTGCATCAAACAGACAAAGTTAGCGACTAACTGGTGAACATAGTGAAGCATTCTGAGGCTAAAAAGCCAGATATTTCCCTGAGGAATTGTTGAAGACACAGACCATGTTACAAGCAGAATGAATATTGGACTTACTTTCATAGGGTAGCCACAAACACGGCTCTAAATGAATCCATACAGTATCTGCTGCATGTTTGCCATAAAAATTTTGTGTTTACACCTTATTGTGCTGCCCCCAAGCTGTCAAAATATAACTGATGCAAGTTTAAGAGATTTTTATTGGAATTATCAAATTCAAAAACACTGAAAGAGGGTGGGAAATATTGTTTGAATAATGCCAATAATGCCCTGTATAAGGTTTTAGTTCGAAATAAACTAAATGCACTAAACATTAAGGTGCTGTGGACCAAAACATCCATTAAATAGTGCTGTATAGATTATGTTAAACACAGACTAAACACACAAAACCTTGGCACAGATGCACACAAGTGTGTCTAGAGAGCGTCACTCTTCTAGATTAAAGGCCTGCCAACTTGCCCTATATGCATTTTTCATCCAAACGACAAAGGCAAGCAGCGAGTGTCAATCCACAAAACTCAGACATCTCCTGCAGGAAAAACAGGAGACAAATCCGCTTAATAATCTACATTTCCAGGGTGGAATAGCTGGAGGGCACAAACAGCCCAGAGCCTACCGGGAGGGAAAAGAGAATTGCTCTGAACGGTACAAACCTCTAAAAACACGAACGACTGGTCTGTCTGTCTCGTGTGTTGGAAAATAAAATCACTTGTTTCCCTCCACGTCTCCCGTTTCCCCCTGCAGAAAACAGAGGTCTCTGTGGTTTTACAGGGACAGCAAAAACTCCAACAGCAAATTCTTAAAACATATGGACTAAGAAAAGGGGCCTATATTTAAAACCCATATTTAATTGTAGAAAAACACGCCAATTCTAGCCACATGGTCCGAGGCTGTAAGCTGAGCTTGCACTGTGACTGGCCTGTTTTCACTGGGGCCAGAGCAGTGGCAATGGAAACCTAAAGCTGGAGACAGAGAGAGAGGCTAGAGAGAAAAACAGTGAGAGAGAGAAAATCAGCGAGTTTAGATACTGAATGAAGGAGAGAAAAAATTTGATTGAGCAAGAGATGGTGGATAATGAGTAAGAGAGGGGAAGAGGGAAAAAAATAAAGAACCCTCCCTCCATTCTGTCCTCCTTGTCTTGTGGTGCAGGGTTATTTTTAGCTACGATGGGGAGCAACACGCTGCTGTAAAGGCAATCATTTCTGCTGCAGCACAGTCATCGCTCACCATGACATCTATGTCACAGCAAAGGAAAGCTACACACACACACACACACACACACAAACACACACTTACACATGGATGCACAGTTCAACAAGCATGTTTGTTAAAGGACCGGCATTACTATTAATACCTCTGGCTTTAAGCCTTCAGTAGCCAAAATCTTGTATGATATTCACTCTTCACTCTTCACTTTTCCTTCCCTAAACTGTGAAACAAACTAAAAAGTTACCACCTTTATATCTTGGGGTGGTGCATATACTGTATTTTACACTTGGCGGCTACTTCGCAAAGGTCAAGTGCCTCACTTTAAAGTGGTTCTCATTTTGCACATGTGTGCACTGAAAACAAAAGACCCTCTCAGATGGCAAAGCGTGCATACCAACCAAAGTGTATCAGGTCAAACCAGTCATGTTGGGGATTAGCTGAGCACTTGGAAACACACACACCACTGTATTCCCCAGTTGTGACATTTACCAGGTCAAGGAGGAGAAACCCTATCATGGCACTGGAATCAATACCTCCTCTTAAAGGAATTAAAACATATTTCATTACACAATGCAACTAATAGCTTTTTTCTTCTAAAATCAATGTCTGCTGCCTCGTTTTGCTTACAGTACAATGTAATAAGGCTAAAGTAATCAAACATCACAATGTTTGTTCTAAATTGACTCCAACTGTGATTCTTGTGAGCCTTTATTGAAAGAAAATGGCTCTATGACTGACAAATAGGTTTTGGTATCAAGAACCGGTTCCAAGTTTGAACAACAGTTCGTAACATTTTTAATATTTCATTGGCGCTCCTGATTGAACTTTATAAAATATTGAATTTTATAGTGCATAAAAGTGTCACTTTTCCGCCAGGACGTGCTGCACCAACCTAACATCCTGTCATTTGTTACGCAGTACGTCAACAAAGCATAAAGAAGAGAGTACTTGTGTTTCCTGGACCATAGCAAACCGCAGAACACTCAAACTTTTGGCTTAGCTTCACTAAAAAAGATAAAGATAGAGCAAAATGCAACATCTGCAGTAAGGATATTACTTGAATGCTTAGTGTTACTTACTGAATCTGAAGGAACGCACTGTGCTCAGTGTGTTACAGTCTCCCAGCTACAATGACGCTCCAGATACAGCTAACGCTAACAGTAGCAACGTCTCACGCTCAGGTACAAAACACAGGTGAGCTGACATTCACCTTTTATACTGAAGGGAAACGAATGATGTCTACAAATGTTTCCAATATATATTTCTTACGTGGTACGAGTCCCTCTAGTACAGAAAGTCCTTTCGCTTTAGACATCAAGGGGAAGATTAAAAAAGGAGGAAGTGGATGAATGTCACAGAGCGCTGACAAGATCTGTGGTGGAACCAGATTAGATAAGTAGAATCAGAATTGCTATATTCTTAACGATGCCCAACCCTACTGACTATTAGCTCATTAACGTTTTTTACTCTTTTTATAAGTGGTAAGAAGCGCCAAGACAATTTACTCAAAATGTGTCTTCAGTAGAATTAAAAGAATAACTGAATAATTACAGCTCTGAATACATTGTTATCTCCCCTCACTAGTACATAGGAAGTTACACAATTCAATGCAAATTCAGCAAGAACTGTATCTTTCTGTATGGAAAGCCTGGAGCTCAACCTTATCAAATAATGTACGGGGTCTTAGATGAGAAAATAGCATACTGTGAATACTGCTGCAAAAAAACTGAAAACACAAAAAAAATCTACTTCTTAATATAGTATGACTCAGCCCTGCATTACCATGCAGAGTATGGGGTTATGGCAGGCAAATCAGGATACTCCTGGATGGAATATTTAAGTGATGGGAAGTACGCAGCCAGTGATTGGAAAGGACTGGCATACTAAGGTACTATCATATCAGCTTAAACGGCTTCAAAGCAGCACTTTTATACTTACTATACGTGGCAGACAGTTGAGACTAATTAGGCCGACAGAAAGAGGAATCCTAGAGTTAGTGGAGAAGACAGCCAGTGGGCTTGGCTGCAACAGTGCTATGAGGGTGTTTTTTTTTTTGCATAATTTAGGAATCCTTTACCTATGGTAGGGAAAATGTAACTGATGTCTTACTTCAGGAATGCAATCAGACATATTTATATCCCAAATCATTTCACCCGCACGACAGATCTTTTGTTAGTTTTTTATAGTTAAATATGAATGTATGTGACACTTGCAAAAAATGCACTGAATGCAAGCTTTGCTGTTGAACTGGGTGACTTGGTTAAAACAAATAAAGTAATTCAATAATTTTCTGACTGAAATGATCCCAATATCGAAAATGTAGGCAAAATTAAACAAATACAGTTTGTTCCTCTTACATTCAGAACATGTTTTTTTATGTGGTGACATCTGCTTGGACTGATCGATTGATCACATATGAACTTAAATAGGTAATTTTGTTGCCTGATAACAAGTTACTTAATACTTGAGTATAAGGTTACTGTTGTGTCACTTTGATAGATCGCCCTGCTTGAACCTCATCACATTATTTTCAGCGCTTTTTGTTTGATGTGTTTAATATAGAAATGTTTACTCTTACCGGTGATCAGCTCTCGAACTTCCATGTCATTGGTCTTCCTCAGCAGGCGGACGAGGGCGGGGATGCCGTCACAGTTCTTGATGGCTACCTTGTTGTCATTGTCCTTGCCGTAGGAGATGTTGCGCAGGGCACCACAAGCCTTGCGGTGGACTTCAGATTTGGGGTGGTCCAGAAGCCCCACCAGAACAGGAATCCCTTTCAGCTGACGCACATCCTTCTTAATCTTGTCATTTTCATAGCACAGGTGCTGCAGGTAGGCAGCGGCATTGGACTTGACCGGGTCAATGGGGTGGCCAAGCATGGCGATGACCTCGGGGAGGTCTGGGTCGCGCCAACGCGGGTCCTTGCGGATGCTGTCAATGGACGGTGAGCGTCGGCCACCCATGCGGTCCAGACTTGCCATGCTCCCCCTCTCCGGCTGGGCCAGCGGTGCTGAATATATGCCATGGATGTAAGGATGGCGCTCATCGATCAGCTCTGCCTCAATGGGGTCATCTGGGTACCCTCTGGAAGCCGAAAGAAGAGAGGACAGTGAGGACAAGGGAGATGGACGAGGTAAATGGAGGGCGACTCAGACAGATTTGTCTAACTGAAAAATTAGGCAGCTGGGAAAAAGACTTTGAGAGAAGCCAACTGAGGTGAGAGCCACTGACTAATGAGGGGAAAAGGGAAAGCAGAGGACAGTGTGAGTGAGAGGTGAAAAGATGTGGGCGATGAACGGGGATAGGAAAGAGTGCAGGACAGAGAGCAAGGGGAGACATGGTGATCTGTGGTTTGAATCTGTTATTAACAGGCCTGTCAGGGGGACTGATGGTGGCAATTCCCCACAATATGAATGATGAATGAAGCAACATTCTGTGTATTATTCAGGTGGTAGCAACTAACATGTGAAACTTCAACAAACAAATAAGGTCTTCGAGGTAGTGACTGAGAAACAGGAAAAGACTGCACAGAAAAAAAGCAGGCACTAAGATTCAGAGACAAAGGCAACACCAAAGAAAAAGCTTTGAAGAAAAGTCTTGTGAAGTTTTTTTTCAGGAAGCCACCATAAACACAAGAGAAGGGACTTGATGTATTTCCCCCCAGGGAACAAAGAATGAGCAGTGCTGTCCCCCTAGGGAGGACCAGGAGTCCCTATGATGCCCCCAGGGCTCCCTTTGCTAACAGTGCCAAACACTAGCATACAGTGGCTGAAATGTTAATGATCATCTCTCTGGGACTTCTACTACTGTTAGTATGGCTGATGATATAAACAGTATTGAGCTCTACACATTTTCGGTGATATAAACTGGTGTTGTTCTCTGGAGGAGGAAGAGGGGAGTTGCTTTTTGACGGTTCATAGGGGGTTCCCTTCAATGACTCTCTATTACAGAAGCCTCTTAAAGTCTATGATTTACACTCTGTTCTCTGGGGTTTTTACTCCAAAGGCAGTCTCATCAATTCTCTACCGCAACATGGGTGAAAATATAGGCGCTCAATTCCAATGACAGATCATTTGTTGCTGGAGTGCAGGCTACTTATTTTACTTAAGGCTCTTTAATCATAGGAGCGATTTTTCACTTGTAGTGCCAACTCTGAGGATGGAGTCAGGAGAGTCACGTTTTATACTGGCGAAAAGTTGCAAAGAATCTTTTTGAAACTTGTTTCACAAAAATCCTTCTTTTTGATCACGTACTACTAAGTTGTCAAAAAGGGTGGGAGAATGTTTGGTAGGAAAAGTTATGACATGGGGAGAGGAATTTAATTAGGGCTGTGTATTTATGCAGCCTTTATCATCCCCCCCTCCCACCCCACAGCTTGAGACTTGTTTATCCTCATTACATAATCCAGCTGGTCTCCTCTCACCATCTTTGATGTATGGTGGTTGGTGGTGCAACAAAATGGTGGCCAACGCCGGTGGTTGGCAGGGAATTCCAGAGCAAGCTCTAATTTTAATGAGTTTTATGTTAATTATCTGTTTTTACAGTTCTTCCCAGGCATACTGAGGAAGGAGCGGGGGCTCTGCATGTCATCTAGCCTCAGCTATGGTGTATTCCTCTGTTGATTTTTTCTTTTACACAAGCCTTGCAGTAACTTATTGGCTTTTATGGCACAACTTTGTGCATTTTACTACCAGGGAAATCAATACAAGATGAACTGGGGGGAAAACTGTCCGAACAATGTAATGAGATACTAAATCCCTTTTTCAGATGGATGGAAAACGGATTAATAGAGATGGAGTGAGGCATCACTGCAGTCAAGTATGGCCATGTCCGAATACTGCAAATTACCCAAGTTCAAGAATCACGGTGCTGAATGATTGTGACTCTGGAGGTCTAATGACTTTTTAAACAGATTTTCTTCAAGGGTAAATAGTAAGCAAAACACTGAATTGAAGATAGCTAATCTAAACTAGAGTGGATCTGGTATATCATTACTGTTTATTCTTCTTTAAAAGTATTTCTTCCCAGCTCTATGTAGAACTTGTTGGAGAGCCGCAAACCTCTATAGGCTGTCTGTAACCACAGTATGGACGGAGGGGCCAATCAGGAGCCCGATTAAAAACCCTGAGTTGCATGACATGTCATGCACAGAAAAGAGGGACATTTGCGATTATGTGTGCATGTGCTGGTGGTTACTAAATACTTCCTTGCCTGCACTGAGATCTTAACACACACTCCCACACTCCGAAGCTATAATGCAGCTTTCTATTGCTGCAAGATATTAGATGTGACAAGGCTACAGGAGGCAGGAATAACCCTCCACAAGTAAGGCCAGTACACAATCTCAGCATCATCACTGTCGCATAGACCTGCATAAATAACCACCATCTCCTTCATGGACAGTATCTCTCTCTCTCTCTCTTTGACTTTCTCTCTCATTATCTGTCACACTATGTTTCGAGCACACCTTCTCTCGCACACACGCACATCAACACAGAGATGAGATGTACAGTTGTGCAGATCGGGGCTCATTTAGATCTGGTCGATGCAGCAGGGCTTTTGGCAAAGCAGCGTCGCAAGGCTGAGTGATGGGAATGTCAGGATTTGCATTTAAATTGGCGCCATTGTGTGTACAGGGAGGGGTATATTCATAGGACGTAAAAGGGATCTCCGCCACCAGACACAATGCCCTGAGCATTATTACAGCAGATCACTCTCCTCATGTTAATCGAGCTGATAAATGTCCAGGCTATTTCTGTGTATCTGTGTGCTCGTCTCTGGATGCGTGGGTGTGCTTGTTTGTTCTAAGACACAAAGAATAGAAGACAGGATACAGAAACAAACAGATTAGATATAAAGTAGATACGAGATGTATGCATGTCTGCAAACGTCAGCTCTCATTTATTCATCTGGACTTTGCCACATCCTCGCTATTCTTCATATCCTTCATCTTCTGTCAGTTACTTTCATCATCCTTCAGTTCCGTCCATGCCTGACCCTATTCTTCTGCAGGCCCATAAGAGAAGATCAATTAGAATAGAATTAGACTCTCGCAAAAAGATGTTCGCATCTCATATGTACACATAACATCTCTGAAGCGTTTATGAGCTTTTCACTGACTGTCCCTGCCAGGCAGATTGCTCATTTTGAATTATTGGCAATAATTGTTTTATGATGCACAAGAGTCTATGCGGGACAGAGAAGAAAGAAAGAGGGGAGAAAAAAAACTGGATTGTTTATGTCTTGCCACTTTTCTAATGTCTCCGGCTGTTTTGATAGCATTATCGACTGACACCACTGCTTGGTGTTATTCAATTTAAGGAGAGTCACATCGCTCATCGCTCGTTTCTTCTATATTTTAGGAGATGCTTGTGAAACCTCAAACATGACAGAAAGGAAGTATAATATTAAACTGAGTATTTAACTCTCAGTGAAAGCCTCTGGGCAGGATCAAGGAGGGAGGGGGGCAGGGCTGGCTAGCGTCATATCATTTCCACGGGCTGTTCCCTACAGATGACAGATGAGACAACCCCCTCACAATTAAGGATGTGTGTGTGTGTGTGTGTGTGTGCTCAAGGGAGTATGTATGCGTGCGTTTATGTGTCTGTATGTGTGTGTGGTGACCCCTGGATGCAGGAGGGCAGGTGCAGCGAAGCGGTTCGCCCAAACATAGACGAACCATTAGAGATTGGCTTAAAGATGCCCCTGTAGTCTGGCAGAGTTCAAAAGCAGCGATTAATCATGCTGGCATGAGGACACACACACACACACACACACACACACACAGAAAGGTGTTCACAGACACACACACACTGTCACACGTAAAGGATTGGTTGGGGGGAGCGTCATGTTTATTATGTGCAAAAACTGAGCAGGTATAAAGGAAAAAGAGATGCCCATCCCTCCCTTAGTGGCTAGCAACATGCTGCCTTGATATGCTGTTATGGTAAATAATAACCTTTTTTGTTGTGACACCATTTACAGCCAAGTTTTAAAGAAGTGACCAACAAAAACCAAAGGTGACCAATGACAAAACTTTAAATGTTTTTAAAAATTGTCTAGGTAGATATTAAAACTTTAATTAAAGTTTTAATTAAAACTGAAAAAGCAAAGGAGTCTACATCAAATAACATGTATCTCATTGAAACTTAAAGTATAATTATGTCTCTAAAAAAAAAAAGAGAAAAGAATGTATCTCAAGTCAAGATGTTTTTTTGTAATCAAATTCCATCCATCTTCATCAAGCTTTTCTAATTCCACACATCACAGTTTACACAGAAAAAACGCAGTACCATGCTAACACAACTAATGAAGAGTTATTCAGCAGCACCCTGAAACACTACCACCTCCGTGACCTTTCACATCTGATGTACACTATTTATTCCATTTATTTGCACTTGACTATTACAGACAGGTGATGAAAGAAAAACCATGATGATGAGTCCATGATTGTGGTGTTGCACCAATACTTGAAAGGTATCGCAATACCCTGCCGTTAAAAACAATACAATATTGCCCTTTATTGGTACCAATACTGTGCACACAGTATGCTGCTTTATTGTCTGCAAAATTTAGTGAGAAGGAAATTAAGAGCACTGTAAATGGTTCATTTATTTTTAGCTTTTTATGACCAATGTCGCAAACATCACTATATGAAAATGCATACGCAGACCTCTGCCAAGGAGATCATGACACTGTTTAATAAGTGCTGGTTGCAAATATAAATTTAAACTATCAAAGAAATAATATAAATCAAGTGCAGGAGACATCAGATTACAGCATAGCATAAAAAATCTTTAATAACAATGACGTCGATCTAATTATTTACAATAATACAATTTTTAATGTACTAATTCATTCTCAAAAACACACCTGCATGTATGATAAAACAAACTGGGACACGTCATAGACACATAAACTAATTTTATAAAGCATTAAATTAATAAAAATAAATTACATTAACTTTAAATCTGGCACTTGGCGGCATAATTTATTAGCCTACACACTATAGTAGTGCACTAAAGCAGACTGAACATGACTCAATACACCTCGTCAGTGGAGGTCTGGGCTGTACTTAACACATTCTGTAGTTTTCTAATAAGTCAATTAGATTTTAAAATGACAATGAAAACAGGCTCTTTTTTAAGTCATTTTCACTAATTTTAAGTTCAATCTTCTGTCATTTACAGTATTATTCCAATCCTTTTCCAGATTTTTTAGATTTTTGGCATGGTATCGTTTCAGTATCGGTATCGAGATATTTAGACAGGTATCGTATCGAAGTCATAATTTTGGTATCATGACAACACTAATAGGTGTACTGCATGATATATTCACATCCTATAATGCTTGACTTTGAAAGGGGCTCCGGTCATAAAGACTGTATTGCAAGAGGAACAGTGATGTCTTATTTTATGGGTGGTGAACCCTGTGTAATACTTCCAAAAAGCATATGATTCATCAATCACATACAAACCATGCACTGACTGAGACCTGTACTCATTTATTCAGCTTGTTCCTTTCATTTGTCACCCGTTTGCATTTTAGAGCTATGATAAGACTAAGGTCCAAGAGTTAGGTATGCTCACACACACATCCAAGCTACTCCAGCAAAAAATGATGCATCATCATTCCCAACACATGATGGACTCCACAGCCGTTTGCAAGAAGCCGTTTTAGCACTAAACATCTTCATTTTTGTCAGAGCATAATTGAGGGCTTGCAATGCAATGATAAGCTGTAATTAAACCGCTTTAATTCTCAGATTCATTACAGCACTTTGGAGTTGCTGCTCCTTTCTTGGAAGAATACTAATCGCAGTGTGAGTGAACAGGGGAGCCTGGGCACTGGGAGGGCTGATTGTCACCGTTCCTGGGGGAAGAAAAAGGCTCACGGCATACTGATGGTTTGGTGTTTTGATGTCAGCTGATGTAAGTGCAGGAGAAACGACGGAAAGACGAAAGCAGGAAATATTTGGGTTTTATTTTCTGCTGCAATTAGCCAGGCAGCAGTCAGTCAACAGCGCCTTCAAACACGTTTGTTTGTGTTTGGGCATTCACGTTAGTGGCTGTCAGTGTGCGTATATGTGTGTGTCTATCACTGTGTGTGTGTGTGTGTGTGTGTGTGTGTGTGTGTGTGTGTGTGTGTGTGTGTGAACATGGCTGTTAGGCTGTGTTGTGACACATGTAAAGCAGGCTACAAATTGCCTGTCACAGCAAGCACCTCTCACTAGGCAGATGGGGGAGTGACTCATTTTATGAAGATGTGGATTTTTATTGAGAGTGTGTGTGTGTGTGTGTGTGTGTGTGTGTGAGTGTGTGTGTGAGAGAGAGAGAGAGAGAGAGAGAGAGAGAGAGAGAGAGACATAATTACTGGGTGTCTAAATGTCAGAATTAAGTCAAATGTGTATAAAGACGGAGGGTCTGATTAGGCATCTGCTCTGTCATAACTCATGCACATTAATGCAGAGGCCTTTAAATCCAGCTAGTTGCGAATGCATAAGTGTATGTGTACATAAGCTTAATTAAGAAGGGTCCAAAAGTAAAGCTCACATGCTGTCCAGAAAACCAGGCAAACCTGGATTCAGCGTCTTCTTTGATCATGAGAAAAAACACACACAAACCAAAATACACAATCTTTCCTCTCTTACTCGTACCCCTTAGCTCTCTGTTTCTTTAGAGTGCCTTCTAGCCCACAAATGTTGTCCTAAGTTTAAAAGAAAATGTACAGAATTCAAAAATATCCATCTGCTACAGATCACTGCTCGAAAAAAAGTCTTCAAAACACACTTCCCACCAGCTCAACTTCAAACCGCTGCTTCAATTTACTTGAGGGTGGACATTTTGGGCGGGCCCGGCAATGAAATGATTGGAAGCTATTAGGAGACAAGAGGCTATTTTGGGATCTTATTGTTGGAGGCTAACGGGCTTTTTTCCCCTGGTCCCTGGAGCCAGGGGTTATACTCCTCAACAAAGGTTCGCAAAAAAGGGAAAGGCTTTGAAAGACAACTGACAAAAGCCTCCCGTCCTCTCCCACTCTCTCTCCCTTTCCTCCCTTGTCACATCTCAAATCATTCCTGCCTCTTTACCTCTGACACAAACACTTGTTCACTATCCATGTGCAGGAAAACTGCAATCAAAGACTTGTTTTTCCTCGCTGCCTGTCTCAAGCAAGTTGCTTGAGGAGAAGGGACATCTGTTTACTTGCGCACGGTGTAATGTAGTCTTTTTTATGGCGAGAACAAGACAAGTATTCTTTATTCTCTCTCATCTTAACAGGCCTCATCTCCCATTGCGGCAATCCAAAGTCTGTACTCATGCATATGTAAAAGAACTCACTGTCCAACGTAAAAAGAATAAGATGTATACAGTATGAACTTGCACACCTTCACAAAACCATTATCTCCTGCGAGCTCCAGTAGGCTGAATCCTTCAACAGAATCTGTCAATAACACCAGGTACTGATGGTTAAAACAACCGTAAGATGTCTGCATTTATCCTCACCTGACTCGGGGCCCATCACGAAGAGGTTCCCGGTGGGTGCGACCCCGGTTGGCCCCCTGCAGGGTGCGTCGGTTGGCAGTAGAGTAGTCGGGCTCCAGCTCGTATGGCTCCTCCTCTTCAGGGCCCAAGCTGCGGCGATCATCCTCCAGGCCATATGGCTCGGGCTGGAAGCGCTCTGGTTGTGAGCGGTTCAGATCCACAGTGCTGCTACCCATAGGCACCTGGGGCTGGGCCACATGACCATAGTCATCCTTGCGAATAGGCAGCGTGTAGCTGTTCTCCGGCCGGTAGCTGTTGGGCAAGTAGGGGTAGCGCGGCGGCCGGAAATTGACGCCGCGTGACAGGCTTCCATAGTTATCCGTCAAATCAGCATAGCCATCGTGCAGGCCATAGTGGCGAATGTACTGGCTCTCGGGTGTCTCGCCGTATGAATCGTTGTACGAATTGTTGTAGGAGCGTGTAAGGGTGGAGGTTGCTTGAGGCGTGATGAAGCGGTCACCTCCATTCTTCATGTAGCGCCGGTCGATGGAGTCGGTGTAGCTGCCTAGTGGGGACGAGCCCTCAGGCATGGGCAAGCCGTCGGGTCCCAGGGGCACTTGGCGCACTGTTCGTGTGGTCACCGTCTTCACCATCTTAGTCACCTGTAGAAGGGAACAGACACACCTGTCACACAGTGTGGCGTTACATGACAGAGTGATATTACAGCAAACCTTCAGGCTGCACATACACAGAATAAAATGCTACTTAACAAAGATATTAGCTTCTCTAGCTGTCTGATTAAGACACTGTGTTAGAAGACAAATAAGAAGGATAAATCTGAAAAATAAGCAATAACTTTGATTCCTGGTGTCCAGATTAAAACATGCTTTAAAACTCACTCCAGAGGAAAACTCAGCAATTTTAGTTGTGTGAAGTTTTGTGATGAATTATAATGCCATAAAATTATGTTTCATAAAATGATGAGCTCTTAAAGACTCACGCACATACAAGTGTTTTTGATGGTGCTGGTTGGGATTCTCTGATCATCAATGAAACATTTTTATGCTACTAATTAAAACATATACTGGCTGTACTCAGGGAGGAACCTCTGTTGAAGTGGAGGTGGATACTAACTGACCAATATCCAACTGTAATATCTGTGTCACCAATTGGTGGGGCCTTTAAATTACAGAATGAAAAATGTCAATACTCATGCTATAATAAGCTGTTATAAGACAAACACTGTCAGCCAAACAGAAAATGTTGCATTTATGCAGTAAGTGGACTGTCTCCTGGGGTCTGCTGTAACAGAGCCATCCTGAAGTGCTACAGCTCCACTGGACCTTGAATCCTTAATGTCCCCAAGGGAGCAGGGTAGCATCACACTGTAGCTGGAGGACTTTGACAACAAGACCTGCATGTATCTCTCTCACGCTCACTTCATCCTGTGGCTAAATAACTCCACTTCCTCTGCTATATTTGAGGCTGTCTGTCTGTCCCCCCCCCCCTCCCTCCCTGGGCTCTCCGCCCATACAGAAACCAATTTGCTGCCCAGTGAATTCTTCTGTGGCCGATAATTGGCTATTTTGTCCGTGGCTATAAATTCATCTTCAAAATTAATGAGGTTGATGAAAATTAATCGTCATCTGCAGGGGTGCAGGTCTGATGCAATTTGTGTTGTGCCTGACAAGGTATTGCAGAGAGGCCTTCATTCCCACTTGATGAGCGAAGCAGGCCAGTCTAAATTTCTTGGGGAATGGAAAAATAAAAAAGACCTCCGATCATTGATAGGTTTCATTTTCAACACCAACCCTCTTAATTGTATTATGCTTTCCTTATTTTCCCATCAACGCCATAATTCAGATTTTAATCTGGATCGAGCAAAGGCATGTAACAATATCAAGAAACCATAATGAAGCATTAACACCTCACAACGGAGGAGAGAGGAGTGAAGAGCAAAACCCCAAACAACACATCGGTTGTTCAACACGGCATCTTCATTACCTTGGTTGAAACTAATAAGAAATCTTCACTAGCCTTGTTTCTTGATTGCACCCTGACTGTGAGCTCCATAACAAAGCCTATTTTAGGAACACCAAGGTTCATTTCCATGTTCTGAGTAATTACTGAGTAATTTACGTTTGTTTCTAATGCCATTCCGCCATGGCTTTGCGCAGTTAAAAATAAAGAGCTAATTTTTTTGATTCACATTAGCTAAAGCACATGTATGACCTTAGAATAACAAGCTCACTCCCACCGTCTTGATTCACAACGCTAACCCATGACAGAACCCAAACTAGGCTGTTCTGGTGTTCATACTGTGGCCTCGAGGGGACTACAGGAGCCAGGGCTGAATGTCATACCCTGCATGAAGTGATTACGTCTGCATAATAAATGTCATTTATTAAATAACAATTTTACTTTAGTTTTTGATACGCTTTATTGATTTTCCTGAGGGATAGAGCTTCACAGGGGACACCAAGTCATCCAGATGGAGGATAATGTCAGAATGCTTTTAATCATATGTGGACATCTTATCACCTTTTATTTATCGTCCTATTTTATTCGACTCTATTATGGCTGTCAGAGCTGAGCGGAGAGCACGGTGAATGCTACAGCTTCCCAGCCTTGACATGCCCAGCTGCCTTGTACTAACACAGCTTTTTAGGCGATTTGCAAGGGCTGCAAAGGGAGCCATCACACAGTTTTCAAACACTCTTTGATGCATGCTCAAGTTCACAAGGCGTTAAACCGTCGCACAAGGGGAAACGGGGGGGGGGGGGTGTCCTGTGTTTCTAAAGGGGGTAAACAGGGTTAAAACAGAATTGCTAAAATGGTGGAGAGTGTGAGTATACGTGAGAATACATGTAGAAATACTACAGATTGGTGTGTGTGTGTTTGTGTGCATGGAAAGTCATGGCTGTACTAAAAAGTGTTTGAAACAACCACGAGCAGTTAGACACAGGCCTTAAATGTTTACCAAACTGTTAAAAATAAAGGGGAAAGGCAGCAGGCGTCAAACGGTCCACTTTACAGCACTGTAAGAGGTTTCACAACCTCTGCGGCATTCACTTTATTGAGAGCTTAAATGGCCATGGTGACCAGGGGTTAGTGGGAGAGGATGAGGTAGTAATTGAGCATTTTAAGAAGCCTGTGATTCGTTTTCAACCCAATCTAAAGAGCATATGTTAAGATGACGGAGGTAGAAATTTCTAGTTTCTTTGCATAAATGAGGGTCTCTTTAAAACTTGATGTTAGAGGAACAGGGAGGCAGACGGGGGGACACAGCAGAAACCACACAGGGTTTGGCATCCTTTACTGGTTCTGATTCCAACGAGGTGGGGGTCGAGATGGAAACCAGGGTAGGGGTTCGGGTGGCAGGTTTGGACTCCACTAACAGGTTGTCAGTCACCATCCCTGGGTGGTACGTGCGGCGGGTGATGGTTTTGACAACTTTGGTCACCTGGAGTTGGAGGGATGGGTGGGTAGAGCTCTCAGCAAACTGCGTTGGATTTCATTTTGCATGGATGTAAATCCAACCTCTGTAATGCAAATGGCTTTAAAAAAATGACACTTGCACACTTTTAAAGTATCCAGCATATACCTGCATGCAATCTAAGAGAGGATAAAGATTGTTCTTGCCATGCTCCAGTTACTATTTTTAAAAACTGCTTGCTGAAGTCAAGAAATTATGTCTGAAATAAAATAAAGTAATGCACTTTGAGTGGAAAAGGAGTCTTGGTTCTTGTGTTCTTTATTCTGTTCTAGTCAATAGTGACACTTCATTTTTCACAACAGCCATACGTAATTAACTAATTCCTACCTACTTAAGGTTGGCTCCCCAGAGTGTGCAGGGTAGCCAAAGTGCTCTTATTTGTTTGTGTGGTCTGCCTCAACTCTCATTAGCTCATGTCCAGAGGAAAGAGGAGGAATGCTACTTTTATTGGTCTTCTTCCTACATGACTGGTGTTCCATTCAGAGTAGCTGCCAGCAGGAAAAGAGGGCTGGATGAAGGCCAAGGGAAAGCATGGCATACTGAGACAGGAGGAAGGACGTAAATCTAATTGAGAGCCTGCCTACATGTGCTCAAACTCATACACACATTCAAGGTCCGGGGCCAAATCACTCTGAGTTGAATTGATTGAAAATGTAAATAGAACCAGCAGTTAATTTGCTATTGATGGGCCACTCATAGTTGTTTTCCAATTTATGAAAAACTTCCTACGTAACTGAAAGTGTCATCTGAAACTTACCCTAACCCCCCCACACAAACATAAACTTGAGTGTACAACATGGCTTCAGTCTCTTTTCTCTGGCATTCTCTCATGTACAGTAGCTCTGTCTTAGGGCAAATTTTCTAACTAATAATCTTTCTGACGGCTAATTTACCACCAGAAAAACTTTTTTGCCTGCAAATCAAGTAGGTGAGAGTAGCTTCCGTGTTTCATCTTCCAGTAGTCGGATGGGGGATAACCATCAAGGGAAAGGAGTGTGTTAACATTAGACAGTATGGCAAGACTTTGGGTCAAAAGAACAGATACGCACATAAATAAAACTGCGAGTTGCTGTGAAATGGAGAGATAGAAAAGGAGAGAGTGAAAAACAACACATGAAAGTCAGTCAGAGAGAGATGCAGAAAGGAAAAAGAAGACAGAGGGAAAATGAGGAGGACAAGTGGAGGGGTTTCTTTGTGAAAACTCTCGGCTGGGTCTGGATCCATTTGCCACCACAGAGAAGTTGACTTCCAGAAGTTCACCCTCAACATTAATCTGCTTTTCTCCTCCAAGTGACTTCCAGAAAATATCCAATCCCTCCTCCCAGCATGATGGCGGGCCCTTTAGAACAGCGTCCTTCCTCTTCCCTTCCTCAGCAGTAAAGCCCTTGATTAGTGTGATGTTTTCCTGAACATGTTTGTGTGCGTTATCACCAACAAGTTGTGTGTATGAATACATAACATCATGTGCATGTGAGTGAGTGTGTGTGGCCAATCCCCTCGCAGTAAACAGGCTGGAGGGCAATGGGCCCTCCCTGATGAGGGATTAGACCAGGCTTTTTAATTACAGTTTCACAGTCCCTAGAGTAGGAGCTCCACACAGCGCTCTCCACTCCACTGGAAGCCTACAGCAGCAGCGGCAGCAGACTGTATCTACGCTTACATCCGAATACCAAGCAAAATGCAACTGAAATATAAGCTTATCTTTGAGATTATGTCTCAAAATGCAAAACTAGAAAGGAAGAACTTCCAACTCCTGATATGTTGTAGATTCACCAGATTTGGTGTTGATTATGGTGGGAATTCTTCTCCATGCACAAACAGTTATAAATTCAAACCTAGAAGTGAAAGGCAGACTGTCCTCCAAAAGAGAATGACCAGGCACACACTTCTTCAAAAGCCCAACCTGACACCAAGAGGAAGACATCCTGGTTCAAGCAATTGCACATTACTGAAGAAATGATATTTGGGGCACCAATGTAAACAATGTATTACATGGTGATTCGTACAGTTTATTGGTGCTGAGTAGTGGTATTTTGTACCTCCCACAATGTCAATAAGGGATGTTGTAAGACAGAAATAAAGAAAGAGAGAGACAGAAGACCATGCAAAAGAAATAATAAATAGGAGAATGGGTCTCATCCCAGAAGGTGGAAGCAACAAAGCAGTGAACTGAGAAGTTCTTTAGAGTATAGACTGGAGCATTATTTGGCTTGTGATGAAGCAGACTGTGTTGCATACTGCTGCTGTAGCCTTCATGGGCACACATAAAATGGTGGCGAGGTGGGAGAAGCCATACTGGTATAAAGATCCACTCACCTTCACGTTAGTTGACATGTCCTTACAGAAAAACAACAGAACACAATAGAGGACGAATCAACAAAAGAGCTTTTAAGAAGCACAAAACTAGGAGAACACAAGAGGAGTTGGCTCATAATAACACAAGAATCCAAAAAATAAAGCCATGAGAGGGAGATGAAACCACTTTGGGCTGTAGGATTATGGGATTTAGAGTTCTTCAGGGTAGAAGTCTGGGAGTGGAGGTACAGTACTGTGCTGTTTGGAAGCAGTAATCCATAACCATAATTTGAAGCAATATTGAAATGGATCAAAGGGACTTTTTTTGCAGCTATGATCTTTTTGCCACAACAATACAACGGCTCTGAGGTGTCTTGCTCTCGTGTGAAAGTAGGTACCAGGCTGAATATCAGCTCTATACAGTAGATTATATAATCATAATAATCAGGTTTACCTACAGGTCACAGCTGCCTTTCGAAGTCTGTCTTTTTGCTAAGTAGCAATCCAATGCTGAAATTTTTTTGAGAGCTAATAGCATCTAACATCATTACAATATTAAATATTTGGTTAATCAACAACCTAAAATTACAGTATTTTGGGGAATCGAACAAATGTACATATAACTCTTTTTCTAGTATTTATTTATCACATTTTCATCACTCATTTTACACAATCAGCAGATTACACAAGCTCTGCAGATACACTGTAACTCAGCTGAGTGCACCATAGCGCCTCACCTTGGTTTCTGTGCGCCGTGTGGTGCCGTCATCAGAGGTGACCACCGAGACGTGGGAGGTGGGGGTGCCAGGGTCCTCCTCTATGGTGACCGTCTCCTCCACCACCTCCTGCGGCTCCTGCATCATTGCCAGGGATGTGGCGTTACTGGGGCTCTGCTCCTGCACAGACAGGGGGAAAGATAAGTCAGCCAATATAATGTATAGATTTTCACTTTCAGTCGTTAGACCGCGAGGAGAAAAATACAGCATAACATTCAGGTAATCTTCCATTAGATATATGACAAGACAAAACTTTAATTGGGACACTGCAGCTGCAACAAATGATATTAGAATTCAGCAGAAAAACAGAGCCTAAATAAAAAAATTACAAATGAAGGGCAATTTGCAACACGACACTCAAGAATCAACTACATGGATGAAAAGTGTGAAACACAATACAAGAATAAAGTATGGATAATAACAGCATTAAAATATACTTAGACGAGGACGTGAATGAAAAGTGTTAATGATCCAACAAATGTAATCACTGCAAAGTTAATAACAATTCTAATATAATATAACAAGTGATTTAAAAACTGGCAATATTCAGAAAATATATCATCATTAATATTTACTGAATCACACGGTCAAATATATACAATCCATCAAAGCAGATATGTACTAATTAAGTACAGGTCATGAAGGTGTGCATGCACACTGTAACATGTCTAACTCTTCAAAGATAATTTGGACAAAACTAGAGTCCAACCGATTTATCATTTTGCAGATATTATCGGCGTGTATAACAGCCAATATATGATTAAGAAACAGACAGTCGGTTCCTTCCCTCATGTCATGAGTGTTGCATAGTTTGCCTACCAAAGTCTACCAGAGCTATGGTGAGGAGCTCCTGGTAGCTCTCGTTAAGTTGTTCATTTGTCACGTCAATTACATGACTTAAATAATAATAAAAACAGCCTTCATCACTTCTTCTCTGATGAAAACATTCATACCAGACTTGCTAACCCTCCCGTTTTTCACTGCACTTTCCCGGGTCACAGCAGGAGTAGGTGAGTGGTGGAGACGGACATTACGCTGACAGACGTAATTTAAAAAGATTTATTTTGAAACAGTGGCGGCACTTCTAGTGAACGGTCCTCTCATTTCTCTCTAATTTATAACTTCTAAATAATCACTTACAGCAGGTAACGCTGCCCGTTGCCACATTAGCCACAAAGCCAATGCCATGTTTATCAGCATAGGAGCGCTAACGTTGTTATTGAGCAGTTAAAGTAAAGTATTCTAAATTTATCTGCAAGCTGCTTGTCTCTAGTTACAGTCGGTTTGTCAGAAATGATTAAACCAAAAGGGTCATGTAAAGCTTTGGCTAGAATTAACAGTGCTGTTAAAAGGGATGAAATAGATGTACATATGCTGCATAGTAGAAAGTAGTCAATGTGGCAGATTATATGTAAGGTAATAACTATTGTATTGTAGTGTTGTGTTGTATAACATAATTTTTTGCCTATGTAGGAGAGCCCTGTTTATCATTATTATAGCAATGACATGAGATATGTTATATGGTATTATTATTAGTAGTAGTAGTACCAGTAGTAGCATATAGGTATTTTTGATAGTTTCTGTTTCACTGGCTCCATAATACACTATTTACTTTAATGTTCATTAGTAGTAGTACTCTATTATTTATAACAAATCAGATATTTTTTTTTAATTTCTGTAGTTTTATGCATTTGATTCTTATTTATCAACACTTATATTTTTCTTGTATTTTTGTTCAAAGTACTATTTATAATAAAAAAGTTTCTTTTTATACTGCATTATGTCATGGTATCTTGGTATGGTCTCAACATAACACAATTTTAGAGATAATCATTGTTTATGTTATGCGTTTCTTAAAATAAGGGAAAATAAGAATATCGGCCGATATATCGGCTATCGGATTTTAAAATCCTCAAATATCGAAATCGGTATCGGACTTGGAAATGAATCGGGCTCTAGACAAAACACACTCTTGGTAGTCCTAATCCAGGCTCTGTAAGAGCCATCGAGATGCCAATCATCACAAAACTTTGATACTGCACAATTAGGCAAAAACGTTAGATAAGGTTAATAACAACATTTAATACTGGCAATACAGTATTATTTATGGTATGATTAAGGTGGGACAAATAATTAATAGTAAATTTAAAATGTTCTGGATAGATCATGGTTATGGTAAATAAACTAAGGTTGGGGTTAGGTAAGTACAACACTTGGTAAGGTAGAGGAATGTGGTGTTTGTGATTAAACAAACCCGGTTCTCTGGAGGCAACACAAGCCCATTCACCAAGCTAGACTAGGTTCCACAGTTTCTAGTTTGTTTCTCATCCTGGTAGTCCCTAATTTATTTGGCCATGATATTATATCCAAACACTGCAATGCAGGGTAGCTAGCAACTTCTCACCTCTTGAGACTTCAAATTGAGTTAAAGCTTCTTTCAAAGCAAGCAAAAGCCTGGAGGATTGGTTTTGATTCATATTTCATTGGGAGGCCATGGATTTGAAGAAAAAGTGTCCATGGGCTAAGGATGAAAGAGAGTATAGAGTCCCTCCTACCCCAGCTGACCCTGTGTGAACGCGTTAGAAACATGTGCTTCCCGCTGCATTTCCTGCTGATGGAAAATGATATGAAGTCAGTGGTCGGAGGTGCAACGCCCTGGTGTGGCCTGCTGCTGTGCAAGAGTGTGACTAAATTACAGCTCTCGTGATGGAGAGGGCAAGGAAGGCATTTGAGGCAATCAATGATAACCAAAACAGCACGGAGTCAAGAGAGGGAGAGGAAATCGAAAGTAATGGAGAGGGTGGAGAGGTAAAAGAGAATGGGACGGTGTTGTAGAAACTAGAGGTTTTCTTTTAAAGGGGGGAAAAAGGGGAAACAGTGGGTTGCATAATCATAGTCAAGATAACTGACCTTGAGAATTTATTTAAGGTGTCTGACATGCCATTTCTATTGTGTGCCCTTCCTGTCCTGTTATTCATAAATGTGACAAAACACCAACAAATGTATTACTTAACTTAAACTTTTTGACCCGCATTAATCTTCATCCAAAGATAAAAGATCAAAGCTATTTAAAAAAAAACTCCCCCAGTGTCACCCCTAAACTATTTGCAAATTCACCTCACGTAAAAAAAAATAATAATAATAACAAAACGTTAAAACAACTGAACCAAGCAGACTGTTTTTGTCTAAGCAATTATACCAAGCTGGAGAGAGAGACAGAGCAAAGGCCAAGGACTCTCTCCAACAGAAAACGTTTCAGTGTTGTTCTCCACTACAAGCAACGCCTTATGGAGGGAGACTGCTTGTTTTCTTCATGTCTTCAAGACACTAACAAGTGAAAAGTTCTCCATTGATTGGCCAACTCCTCTCAGGCTTCAAAGCCCCACACAGTCCTCATTGATCTCCAGTCCTTCTTGCTGATCAGTCAAAACTTTGCACTTTTTATGTTGAGGATATTTTCCTCTAATCCCACAACCCTCCAGCCCCCATATCACTGCTGGGAAAAAGACCAGGGCCCTTGTTTTTAGCGAATGCATAACCTCCTTCAGCAGCACAAAGCAAACAAAAACTATTTATTTACCTGCTTCACTCTATCCGGTAACTTAAAGTCAATCAGTGATTTGAACTGAGCTGAGTTAGGTCATTACACTTTGAGTTCCTAAGTTCCATTATTGGGGTTAATGACTGGGAAGGCTATGTGCTGCATAGAAAGAGACACATTTATTTACACACAACCATTGCTGAGCTGAGGAAAACTCATTTTTTTACAACTGACCTCAGGCTAAACAGCCGCGCTCTGCTGAGAAGAGTTCTAATGGTATTCAGAAAAGGTCAGTGCTGATAAGTTACCTCCAATAAACATCCTTGTTCTGTTCATTTATGAAATGAAATATGTGAATTACCTTCCTCATTTGTTAAAAACAATGGATAATGCCTAATTTATTTAATGCAACATGGATGTAAATTAAAGATATATTACATGGTCTTTCTGGGTCCACTGCCATTCACTGGCTGCCCGTTTCAATTTTTGTAATCCAGCGGCCTCAAAAGTCGAACTACTTTTACTTTTTTCACAGCACGCTTCACTACAAAAAAAACATGCTGCATTTTTACATAATAAAATCTATAGGTGCATTTCTTTATAGCGTTGTGTCGCTTTGTGAACACTCCATAAAGAAAAAACTGACTTCTGAATACATTAGGCATTCAATTAAAATAATGACCCTATGAATGCATGCATACATGTATGTGTGCATGCGTACCAATGTGCATGTATGGCATGATTTATCTTTTCTTCTTCTGTACAGGATGAGGCAGATGGTGTGTGTACAAACTCTTCCTTACTAAGCAACCACCTTTTCGGCTCTTTGCTAATCAAATCTCGACAAAATAACTGCATTCCTATGATATTTAATTCCTTTGAAGGCTCACTGGGTGTACCCAGAGGAGATGCCATCAAAACAGAAACATGTAATAAAAGCAGCACCATCCTACCGTTTAAAACACAGTGGACAGAGAGGAGGGAGGGATCCTCACTGACAAACTGGCTTCTTGATCCAAGCTTAATGCAGTGTCTCTCGTTCACTTTCCTCGCTCACTCCTTCTCTCTGCATGCACAGGGAGAGGGGAGTTGAACTCGACATTACATCCCCTAAATAAATGATTAAAAGCCGTCTGGCTGTGGGCTAGCGGTCCCAGGGGAGTATGAGGCTGATTCTGAGTCGAGGAGACTCAGGAAAGCATACCCTTCAGTCAAGGGCGGGAGAAGAGGAGCACAGTGAGTTAATGGTTGATCTCAGAGAGATGAATGATAAAGTGGAAGAAGGGTACAAGGGAGAATGTGGTAATGGAGGGGGAGGAAGTCTGAGGACATGCAAATGTTGTGGAGATGGTTGGTATTAGCCAGTGGAATAGTGGAAACCTCAAGGTTGAATAGGTGAGCGTATGATCCGACAGTTGGATGGATCGGGAAAAAGAAGGGGAAAGCTTCACACAGCAAAAAACTACCCGAGGATCCCTTGAGTAGAGCATCTCAACACCCTAGTTCTCCAGGACTAACTATGTCTGTATTGAACAAGACGCCATGAAAATGTGAAAGTGTGTGTCAGCAAGAGTCCAAC